AATTTACTCAACTATTGAGTAATAATAAATGAACTCAAATATAAGTTTATTTTCATTGAGGTTGCTTTTATGCGCCTTTAACCATTTCATTTTCACAAGCGTTGATAGACGAGTGGTCAACACACAGGCCCCGTAATCTCAACGTCCATGGTTCGGTTCCAGTCTGCTCCGTTTTTTTATTTTTTTTTTTGTCAACTTGGTCAACGTGGATTCATGATCAGGATTACTCAAAATTCCCTAATAAACAAATACCATAAACGAACTGTATCCCGGATGGGTAAACTATCTCACAAATGGTTTGGATGATACCCCGAACACGTCGTTAAGCTCTCTTTTATGGTTATTTTATTAGGGTTGAGTTTTCTTCTTTAACTTAATTTTACCTAGCCCCACGGAAGCCACGTGATGAGTGAAAGGAACTCAATTTTGGGTTCTTTTTTCTTACCGTGTACTATATGCGATTTACTCAAATTTGGGTTATTGGGCTGAACCCCGTAATTAAGGGAAAAGTACTTAATTTTGGGTAGTTTTTCATCTCCGTGTAAATCTCACTGTTCTCAGGCTGTGGTCCATTTGGTGAATTTTCACTTAAATTTGACACTTCGAAACTAAATTATAATGTTCGAAAATCCCTCTGTTGTTGATCGGCCAATTTTCGAGAAGGTGTGTGTCAAAATTGATTCCTTGTCTGTCAGATATAAGTCTGCTGGAATAGCAGGTTAATTTGGAAATTTTCCATCTGTCAAGTTTAAGTGAAAATTCGCCAAATGGAACACAGCCTCAGTATTGACGAGTGCACGGATGGATTTGAGTTCACTCACTCGACAAAAAATGACACAACAGCGGGGCCCTGTTTACTAAAAATGAACACATATGTGTTCATTTTTAGTAAACAGGGCCCCGCTGTTGTGTCACTTTTTGTCGAGTGAGTGAACTCAAATTCATCCGTGCACTCGTCAATTAGGTTTTGCACCGTCGGGGTTAACCTCAATCTGATGACAGTTCAGTGGTACTGTTTACGTGGACTTAGTCGTTTTTTTCTTGGGTAGATTTTCTCGATAATTTTTCAGACTGCAGTGAGATGTAAACCACACTTCTGCATTGTCCACGAGCATATTTCTTTCACCGCGCTGTTCCTCGACAATTTTCAAGTTAAAATTCAGAAATTTTAGAATTCGTTTTTTCGAAAAAACGACTAAGTGCTTGTAAACAGTACCACTGAACTGTCAAAAAGGTTCAGCCTATTAACACTGAGTTCATTTGTGACGTCACGCTGCAGAACCTAATAGACGAGTGCACGGATGGATTTGAGTTCACTCACTCGACAAAAAGTGACACAACAGCGGGGCCCTATTTACTAAAAATGAACACATATGTGTTCATTTTTAGTAAACAGGGCCCCGCTGTTGTGTCACTTTTTGTCGAGTGAGTGAACTCAAATCCATCCGTGCACTCGTCTATGGAATGTTATGGTAAAGTGACGTCGTCACTTGAGCAATGTTTACAATATTTTTGCTTCTAATACCCAGCTGGGTGACATGCCGCCATGTTATTGAAACCAACATCTGAAACGTCACAATTCCAGTGTGAACCGCAAAAATGGCGTGACTGAATTGTCTTATTTTTAGCAAATGAAATTATTTTCCCTTTTATGCCATATAAATGGTTGACTTCGTGGTAGAAAATCAGAAAATAATATTTTATGAGTCCTAAGTTTATTTTTCACAAAATGTAAGCAAAAATATTAAGAATATCCATAATATCAGTCACGCCTTTTTTTAAATTCTGGCTTGAATCTTCTATTTGTTTACAAATTATGAGCTGTCAGTGGGCCCACAATTCACGGGCCCGCAGCGATGTTAGCTCTTTTCAAGGCAAGGCAAACAAGATAGGGATGCCACCCAGCTGCTGATACCAGCTAAAGCCCTACAGTAAAAGTATGGACGTCTGTCAAAAGTTGTTCCAATCGAACCGTCAAAATGCACCGCTTTGCTCGAATGGAACAGCTTTTTTCAGTTTTGTGGTGACAGTCATCCATACTTTTACTGTAGGGCTTTAATACCAGCAAGCTGCCTGTTGGCCCGGATCTTATATAAATGTCAATGTAATCGGCGCACTCTAATGCCAATGAGCTGGATTACCGAGTTATACCAACAATCAATACGAAACTAACGATTTTAAATTGGCTCACCACTTTAGTAGCCTATTGGTCCCAAGCAAACGATTAACGTACCCTATTCTAGTCGAAATTCTAGTACTACGCAATGCTTGTTTTGATTCGCTATGAAAGTTTGACAGATAAAATGAGGGGTTATTCCCAACTAACAATTTTAGCTGCAGATTAGTTTATACAGCCAAAAATTGGCTTATACAGCTAATTTTTGCCTGTATAAGCTAGTCTGCAGCTAAAATTGTTTGTTGGGTTGGTTTTACCTATGTTTCGAGGGGTGATTCGACAAGCTTGGGACCGAAGATAGTACCAGAGGTGAGCCAAAAAGTTGAGCACGTTTCTTCGGGACCTACTTGTCTTAGAGTTACCTCTATGGTTATACCAACAATCAATACGAAACTAACGATTTTAAATTGGCTCACTACTTGACTAGCCTATTGGTCCCAAGCAAACGATTAACGTACCCCATTCTAGTCGAAATTCTAGTACTACGCAATGTTTGTTTTGATTTGCTATGAAAGTGTGACAGATAAAATGAGGGGTTATTGGTTTTTCCTATGTTTCGAGGGGTGAATCGATTAGCTTGGGACCGAAGAGAGTACCAGAGCTGAGCCAAAAAGTTGAGCACATTATTTCGGGACCTTCTAGTCTTATGGTGGTAAGCTCCAACCGGTATTATCCTCGGATTAAATCCCGATCAAGAATGTCCGGCTGGTTTGAAGTCGACATCAGAGTTAATCAACATAATTCTGAGCAAACATTTTTCAGATCATACAAACAGGGACGGTATTAAAAGTTAATCCGAGTTGGAGCTTACCGCCATTAGAGTTACCTCTATGGTTATACGTTATACCCCGTTCACATAACAGCGTATATCACGTGATATACGCTCTCTTGCAATGAGCACTCATATATCTAGTTTTCACTGGAAATCCTATGTATGAGTGCTCATTGCAAGACAGCCTATATTACGTGATATAGGCTGTAATGTGAACGGGGTATTAAATCAGTCGGTTAAGTTGTGTGAGTAAAGGCCGGCGCACAATGGATACGTTTTCAGTCAAAACACCCGAAAACGTATGCATTGTGCGCCGGCCTTAAAACTCGCCTTAAAACCCCTGTACGATACAAGCAATTAGTGACGTCACTACGTGCGTTTACGTTGATTTTTTGGTTTACTAATAGCGAATTCGTTTATTATCGGGGTTAACACCAGTTCCAACCCAGTGCGAAACCGAACTTTTGTCAGTGTGAACCTCAACCTGAGCTAGGTTTTAAACACAAACGAGCAAACTGACGTTTGTCAGAAAACAAGCAGACCCAATCTTGATACCCGATCCAGGTTGGAACTGAATAATAAACGAATTCGCTATAAGGCTGTGAACCATTTGCCGAGTTAAATTTAACTCGTGGTTAAAAGTGACTTCGAAAGTTATTCCATAGAGGTAACTCGTGGGTGAGTTCTTCACGAAAACCGGTCGATCGACAGCACAGGGATTGTCGAACACAGAGAATAACCAACAATCAATACGGAACTAACGATTTTAAATTGGCTACCTACTTGACTAGCCTATTGGTCCCAAGCAAACGTTGGTTGTCAAAATTTAACTTCTTGTCTGTCAGAAATAAGCACGCTCGGATAGCAGGGTTAATCGATAACTTTCCATTTGTCAAATTTTAACCAAAAGTTAAGAAAATCCACCAAATGGTTCAGAGCCTAATACCCCGTTCACATTACAACGTATATTACGTGATATACGCTGTCTTGCAATGAGCACTCATACATCTAGTTTTCACTGGAAATCCTATGTATGAGTGTTCATTGCAAGACAGCCTATATTACGTGATATAGGCTGTAATGTGAACGGGGTATAATACAACCATATTTCACGATCTGTGTCACCTCTCTCTGGACCATTGACTCTAATGCACCATTTAAACTGAAGGAGTTTGAGCAAGAGAGAAACAGATTAGTGGGAAAACAAACCATCCATTCATCCCTGTGTACTGGGGAGAGAAAGAAGATTAAACGTCAAAATGGTCTATTCAATGTGTGAGTCAGCACGTGGACCTTTAGTAGAAGAAGAATAAAAAGTAAATCGATGTAGGAGAATGGTTCCAAAAATTGACATATAGGGGAAATGTATGTAATGTCGGCCTAAATGTCCCTAATTTGGGCCCATATATGAATTCAGCAATCGACTAAATTTTCAATAGCGACCAAAAATACCCATTAGTGCCGTTCCAAAGACGCGTTCATCTAGATAAAATTGATAAATAGCTGATTTTTAGCGATGGGCCCAATCTTAGATCCATTGGCGTTGACGGCGACTCTGTAGCTCTTTACTCCACTGGTAAAATCCATAAGCAAACGTCAGACTGTGCGTGAAACATGGCGGACTTCGTACTATTCTTTCACTCCACTGAAAATTCCCATATGAAACTGTCAATCTTTGCTAGAAAAAACGATTTTTCGGCGGTGCCGTCAACGCCAATAGGCCAACATTAGAGCCATTTCCCCTATAACCTATATGGAAATCTAATGAAAACTATTTCGGAAATAATATTATCTACTAAACATGGATTACTCATACACTCTCACTATAAACAAAAAAAATCGTATGGGTGAGATTTGGGGTATCAACCTTAATTCTGATGATTTCATTCTCATGTTACGTTTACTACAGGGTCCATCCATTAATTACGAATAACTAAAACGCTATTATTTGGCGTCTTCCACCTCCCCAAAACAATTTTCTCAACACCCAAGACATGACCACCCACCCTCAGTTGAATTACGTATTATATGACAAACCCATAGAGTATTGCTTCCCACGTTAAGTGAAAGGCATTTTTGCGTGTTTCCTCTGACAGTATCCTTACTGCTGCTGTGAAAGGTGAAATAACAACATAATTCTAGGATGTGCTGCTGACTTTGCAAATTGAAATTTTCAAGTGCTTTATGTTACCATTATTAAACTAAATCATAAACATTTTGCTCGCCATCACCACGACACTCGAAGCCCTTTGTGAGTATAGTAGATTTCCGATCACGGAATATTTTGGAATAAATGACACATATCAGAGAGTTTATTTACGATGATGACGATGAAGCAATTGCGAACAAGCTGATGCTTTTCTTGATATTATTCTCTCTTGAATAATGTTTACAACTATGCAAAACAAATTTATGTATGTGATTGGAGCTTCAGAAGTCTGCAATGTTTTCAATAAGTACAAAGGCATGTAGCATTATTGATTTATTTCGCCTTCTACCGGTCATTGACGCAATCAGACTATGCTCGATTTGCTAATACCATCCACATATGGTATGTTTCAAGTTTGGTATGAAAAAAATATTGATCTCTGAACTAATACAAAGCCTTTTTATACTTCTAATAGAGTTGATAGTATCAAATGAAGCATCACATTTTTGAAAAAAAAAACTGCAACTAGAAAAGAATACTCGTGACTAATTCAAATTACTTCTTCTAGGTTCTGATCAATGAAAATATTCAGGTTCAAATGTGAATGCACCCTCGAGATGTTTCACCTTCCACCGGAAGCAGAGTGCAAATAAAATGTTTTACTGGTTTGACAACCAAAAATCAAGGAGCAGCCCGCACGAATGGGATGTTGGTTTTTACTTTCATTATTTTAATCCTAAAACTAATTAACCCTGCTGCAATGAGGCCAAGTACACTAAAACTACAACATCTACAAAATCATGATGTACCTAAGAGCATTTTAAGGTATGTAATAAACGCAAACAGTACAATTGTTTTAGTGGTAGTACTATATGATTTTTTTTTTATTTTGTATGATGATTTCGTAATGTATGATGATTTCTAACAGTTTTAGTTGTTTATCCAGTTTTAAGCAGTCAACAAAGTTAAAAACGATCAGTTGAAATGTATTAAAAATAGTGTAGCAGGTATAGCTTAATGCCATTAATTAAATAGAACTTTTACTTTAAAGTAGCCCCTAACTGGAAAACCAAACATTGTTAACTTTGATTGCAATGTAAAAGTAAATAAGGCATATTGTTATTTTAATGATTTGTTGATAATTATTATAACATGTTATTAAACTGTAGCTTAAACGCTGGCCAGACTGAGCAGTTATAACATGTTATAACGGTTGTCAAATAATTGCAACACAGAAACCACCATCAAGAAAGCGCTATAACATGTTATAACTCTGTAGTCTGAACGTACTATAAGCATAAGCGTATGTTTGTACACTGAAACGTCAATATACGTCTCAACGTATTTATATACCTACCTACATGAATATTTTCGATTTACAGCTAAAACTTTTAAAAATATGAAACTCAATAGTTATTTATTATTTTAAATAGTCTATCCCCAGAATATTATATATGGCACAATAGGGGAGCAGAAAATTAGACTATAATTCTTGCATATTCTAAAAATCGATAGACAATGCTTTTTATACCCGTTCACATTACAGCGTATATCACGTAATATACGCTGTCTTGCAATGAACACTCATACATAGGATTTCCAGTGAAAACTAGATGTATGAGTGCTCATTGCAAGACAGCGTATATCACGTGATATAGGCTGTAATGTGAACGGGGTATTAGGAATATAAATTATTGCCTACTTTGGTAATTTTGACCAATATCTCAACAGCTGAAAAAAAAATAGAGAGTACATTCCGCAAATAAGCATCCCACTTAACTTTAGAATTTAAGAAGCATCTAAAATGAAAGTTTTCGAACAAAATAAAATATGAGCGTCAAATAAATGCATTGGTTGATTTCAGCATAGTCTGCATGCTGAATCTTCGCTCTTTACTTTTTAGCAATCTTAATTGTGACTAGCAGAGAAATTTGATTTATGCATTGAATTAAAATTTCATCAGATCCTTCTCCATTTGAAATACTTATGTTAATCTGTTATTCTAAATAAAATCTACATTAATAAAAAATAAAATACCAGAGTTATCTAAAGGATTGATATTCATGCCCGAGTTTCTTTTTTTAGGGAAGCCTATGCAGCGTGGAATGATCGATCTGATAATTGTATTGTGCCAGAGCCCAACATTCAACCATTATTTCGTGATTTTAAACTATTTCCAACAACTGGACAAGGTAGGTTCCATATTTGAATTGGATAAGTTGAGACTTTTATGGGCCATCTCAATAGGTCCCGTACTGGACGGTTGGCGTAATGAACATATGAAATAACGGACACTTGGCATAACGTATATTTAAAAGTTAATTTACCAACAAATATTACTCCATCTTTTCATTGCTGCTCGTTCTTTGGCATAGAGTTGTTGTTTAGGAAATTGAGATAATATTTTCTTGTTTGCTCCCTTATTTGAATATGTCATAAATAAGAGAATGTTCCTTCCTTAGAATGTTTAACAAAGAAGGAAATACTCCCTTTTTCTTAATATTCATGCATGCGCTTATAATATTTGTAGGTATGAGCTTTTGCTAATATTGTTGCATCAGATTTTTCCTTCTTTCATACATGAGCAGTCCTTCCAAGCCCTAAAATACCATGGAAGAATAGTTTGGATTTTATGAAAGAACGAGCAGCAATCAAAAGAAGGAATAATCATAGATTAGCTATTTGTTTGAAAAACATGTCGAATCATATCGATTGTGCTAATTGTCCAGTATACAAAGTGTCCATTATGCTAAGTCAAGATTAACAATTGAAATGGCCTTAACTTCATTTTGTAAACAAACCTTGTAAGGCCATTTTCTCGCGAATCGAAACCTTTATTCGCAAACCTAAACCACAATCGGGTAGAGGAGAATTTCCCCTACCAGTTCATTATGTTGGTTTGCCTTTGCGGACTTCGGTTCGCGAGAAAATGGCCTTACAAGGTTTGCTTACAAAATGGAGTTAAGGCCATTTCAATTGTTGGTCTTGAAGTGTTCATTATGTCAAACGTCATTAGCGCTCTATTTTTCTCCAACACCTTCCTCAGCCATTAATGTGTAAATTTATTTTTTATAAGATACTAGCTGAGTGTGCCCGCCCTCGCTCGGGATTCAATATTAGCTTGAGTATATGGGGCTACTCCCTATAATCTCCACATGCCAAAATTGGTTCCATTTGCTTGATTAATTCTCGAGTTATGCAGAAATTTCTGCTTCATTTGTATTGGAGCCCCCCTTTACAGAGGAGGAGGGGTATCGAACCATCATAAGAACCTTTCCCTGCCCCTAGTTTCCGAGTCTACAAGGGTCAGACAGACAGACAGAATTTCATTTATATATATTTAGATATAGACATGGAGCAGGTCGTTATGTTATTCTCAATGCCATTACTCAGGTTAAGGCCTTGTTGTCCTCTGCTGCCCGAAGAAATCGTCTCCACTCTACTCGATCCATGGCCACACTTCGCCAGTCTCGTAGTCTGCGAAGGGTCCGCCTTGCCTGATGCGCCCCTTTTTTTTCTATTTCCTGTTGGGTCGCTTTCGAGAACCATTTTCACTGGGTCGTCGTGCGGCATTATTACGACGTGCCCAGCCCACCGTAGTCGCCCAATTTTTGATAATGTGGACGATGGATGGTTTTCCCAGTAGCTGGTGCAATTCGTAGTTCATTCGCCTCCTCCACTTCCCGTCATCCATCTGCACTCCACCGTAGATGGTACGCAGCACCTTCCATTCAAAAACACCAATGGGCGCGTTGGTCCTCCGCGAGCATAGTCCAGGTCTAGTGACCGTAGAGGACCACCGGTCTAATCAGCGTCTTGTAGATAGTAAACTTCATGCTGCCGGCTCAGATTGTGAAATGGTAAGCGTGACTGCTTTCTAACACCCCAATGGGTCTGGGTTCAATCCCAGCCGAGGTCAGTGGGATTTTTCTGAGGCATAAAAATCTCTGGTCACGTCTTCCTTCGAAAGGAAAGTAAAGCCGTTGGTCCCGGCTCATGTGTGTTGTGAATGGGTACAATATCCTACGCAGGTGTGGAAGCTGCCTTCCTGCACATTCGATTGCCGTCAATGGATGGCAATCAATGTCCGTCGGTGATTGGCACTAGATTGCGGAACAGAGACCAACGTTCAAATAAAGGAAAAAAAAAGTTGGAAGGGTTGTATACTAGATACGACCGCAGGGTTGGCGTTGGATAACGTCTGTTATGTGTTGTATTTAATTGTGTATATTAGATTTTAGGAATATTCCTTAATAAATCTTTTGCGAAAGTTTGGTGGCTGAAAAGGGCCGTTTTGTTGGGCTGATGTTGTTGGGTTTGCTCTACTCTGTCGCCCTGGAGAAGCTTTGGAATGATGTTGGTAGTTCGAAGACAGACAGCATCTCCCCTTCCACCCTAATAAAAAATAACCATAAACGAACGATAACCCAAATCATTGAACTATTCCACAAATGGTTTGGATGATACCCAGAACATGTCGTTAAGCAAATTAACCATACAATTTTTATTAGGGCAGCGTTCCCACACCCCAGTATAGTCCCCAAATTTAAGTGTAACTGTGATATTCTGGATAGAAATTGTCTTCAAAACTAACTCTTTGTCGAATTATTGGTGGCCCTGAAAAGGGCCGTTTTGGTTGTGGTTTTGTAATGATAGACTGAATAAATGATTATGTTTGAAAAAATTCAGTTTTTGCTCCGATCAACAACCATACGGGGCAATATGAGCACCCTAGTAAAAGTTAAGGTTTTGACAGGTTTTCACTAGAAAATAACATGCAGGAATCAAGTGAAATAGAAACATAAGTTCTTTTAGCAACAGTTACGTGTATTGCTCGCTGTAGAACCAGCGGATCAGTAAAATGTAATATAGTGAATGCGATGCTTGTTTTCTTGACTGCATATCTTATAATATTCTAGAGATTTTGAGCTAATGTTACATTTCCATTATTATCTTAGACATGTAATTGAATTTTGATACGGTTTTCATGCATATGCATCTCTATTAGAAGCATTTTCAACAAGTTTGTAAAAAAAAATAGATTGAGTTAATAGGTATTATGCCCAAACGAACGGTGGCCCATCTCGCCCCGTATGGTCTTCTTGCCCCCATCGCCTCTATTGGACTGAATTCGGAAACGCTCATGTCCAACCGGTTTTCGTTTTGGGCTGGACATTCTCTAAAGCAACATATTTAAAAAATCTGGGAAAATCTGGAACATAATTAAAAATTCTTGAAATAAACGTAATAACATATAAGTGATATCTGGGTAAGTAGGGGAATTTACGTATTCTCGGCAACCTAAGCAGCGACCTTCTTTCTATAGCCTTTTTCTCTATGGAACGCACACATATGCAGTATTGGTTTGTTTACAATCTTTTGCTGCCAGCTGCTCTAACAATTTCAGTCGAAAGAATTGTCAAAAACTCTTTTGAAACGCTTTTACAAAGCTCCAATTTCCTCTAGTGAGAGCGAGTATTGTCGGCAACCAGTTTTTCTTCGGCAACCGTTCCATTTGAACTGCATGTAAATCTGCTGTTCTATTATCGGCAACTCGAAATCAGCTACAATTTGTAGTGCGTGTGTTTCATTTCAAGAAAACCCTGCTAGATTGCTTTTTCTCAGTGGTAAAAATATAGTCAAATTGAAGCTGAAAGCATAAAGAATCGTTTGCATGCATTCAGCGAAGTGTTTTCGTAAGAAAATCCAGTGAAAATAGTGTTTCAATTTGGGTAGCCGAAAATAGTCTGTCATGCCGAAGCCGTCATTTCCCCTATCTGGCAAGACGATTGAAAATCTGGAAAATCAAATAAATCAGGAATACTGGCAACGCTGTCTCGTTTCATGCCCGTAGAGACAACCGACACTCATCCCATTTTCAGTATTTTGCTACCCACAGTGTTTATTGTACCGTCCCTGTATTCATAATATGCTACTCGACGCAGGTATAAAACCACCGTCGACGGTCGAAATGTCATCATTACAGTTTCAGCATCGAACTGTTCGTGTCGTTCGCAGTATGGCTGGACGTGGAAAAGGAGGCAAAGTCAAGGGAAAGGCAAAGTCCCGTTCGAGCCGCGCTGGATTGCAGTTTCCAGTCGGTCGTATTCACCGTCTACTCCGAAAGGGCAACTATGCCGAGCGTGTTGGAGCCGGTGCTCCCGTCTACCTGGCTGCCGTGATGGAGTATCTGGCCGCTGAAGTTCTCGAGTTGGCAGGAAATGCCGCTCGTGACAACAAGAAAACCCGAATTATCCCACGTCACCTGCAGTTGGCCATCCGCAACGACGAAGAGCTGAACAAACTTCTTTCCGGAGTGACCATCGCTCAGGGTGGTGTCCTGCCAAACATCCAGGCCGTCCTGTTGCCCAAGAAGACCGAAAAGAAGGCCTAAATTCGATCGAAGTTCCCACCCTTTAACAAAATCCGTCCTTTTCAGGACGACCAATTTGATGGTAAAGAGTTTCGTTTTCAAAACAGTTTCCTTCGTGGTGCGCAAGGAATGATAAAATGAATCCATTAAAAACATGGTTGAATCTTTCTGTCATGCTCTCCCTAGTTAATTGATATCCTCATCGAGTAAGTTCGATGATGGTTGATTAGTGTAGGCGTGTCTTGAATTCCAAGAAATTAACCAGTGCAGTGTTATCATTCCATCCTAAAATTAAACCACGAATTCTTGGGAATGATCGTGACACGCTTCATATGGATGGACGAATCGTCCTCATCTCATCCTCAGAAAATCGGCATCCTTTTGAAAAATTCCCCTCACAAAAAGGCTTTTCATGTACTGCCAGAGGGTAGGGGGGAGAGGGGCAATTTAATTATAACTAAAATGAACGAAATTTACGATGTGCGCTTCCATCGTGCAAACTTTATTTTGATTGTCGAAGCATACACTCAAAAAATTTACCACATAGGTATCTAATGGATGAAAACCATGTGAATTTCACATAGCTAAAAATCCCACCACAAAATCACATGAATATCAGGAGGCCGATGAAAGTCATGAAAAAAGTGTCGGAAAGGCATTAGAAAATTAATCGTTAAACTCTTTCTTGATAATGTTGTGGCCCTGAAAAGGGCCATTTTTCCAACGCGCTCGGCGTAGTTGCCCGGTGAATACGACCGACTGAGAACTGCAGCAGCTGGGCATTCCATGACGGCGGCCCAGTATACCGGAGCACTGGCA